TTATGAATTAATTGATTCATTAACAGTTCATAAAATGATCATGAACGTGTGTTATGAACAATTTATGAACATTATGAACTGACTAACAGTTCATTAAAGTTCAGAAAATATTCATGAACTGCATTTTATGAACTATAATTCAACTATAACTCATGAACTAAATTCATGAACTAACTTAATGAACTTCTTATGAACAATCATGCACTGTTCATGGACATTCATGAACAGTTCATGATGGTTCATCAATTCATGAATTTCATCTGGCAGGGGCGTTCTCTAACTTTAGTTTGCCTTAAGCAATTGTTATGAAACTTATACACAATGCTTACTACCACAAAATACAAATGAAGTTTGAATTTTGGTGGTGTCACTTATACCGTTCTAGAGTTATGCCCGTTTACAAATGGAAAAATCGCTGAATTTTTCGTTTCCGTTCTCTAACTTAAGTTAGCCTCAACCAAATGTTATGAAACTTGTTGTACTTCAATGTATTTCATGAAGGCCTCAGGGAAGATTAGTTTACAGCTAACTGTACGTGTGTAACCCACTTTAAATAAAGAATTATTATTACATGTATTATTATTATTATTATTTAAAAAAAAAAATTGATTTATTTTTCTTCCTATAAAAACTACCAGGTACACACAATTTGTATTACATATTTACATTTGTAATTAACTAAATATTCACATTTTGAGTATGGATAAGTGTTGTGTATTTACTATTTATTCATTCATGGAGCAATTACCACCTATTATCAAGAAAACAAAACATTTGGTATTCATCAACTAACACACTTATAATTGGAATGGCAAAGGAGTAGGCCCAGAGAGACTCCTTTTTGGCCCCATCATATAGCATTTTTACAAACTTGTTGAAATGTAAACAGGTAAACTTTTAGCTATTTATTGGAAAGTAGAATACTTCTGTTCCATAAATATGGGCTGTTTTAGACAACACAATGCACATGCATCAGGTAATAGCATCATTAATTCGTGCAATATTACTGAAATCTTCACAATTTTAGCATTTGTGCTAATTTTAAGACGGTTTTTGTCTAAAATGAAAGTGGCCGCATTTGTGTTCAGTCTTAATATTTAAATATATGTTGTATTTGGTGATAATACATAACATATATAAAGGTTGAGACTGAACACGAATGCGGCCATTTCCATTTTAGACAAAAACCATCTGAAAAATTATGTTTTATGGCTTTTTTAATAGATTTTTCATATCTAAGCTTGAATTTGAGCGTTTTTAATGGCCAAATCAGTTCAAATGTTTTACATACATGTAAACTAATTGAATCGACTGAAGTAGACACTTAAGTATTTGAAAAATGTCAAAAATCTTTCATTAAATGTACTTCGAATATTAGGCCAAAACTAGCCCTTACCAGACCTTCTCCTTTATTTGAAATTTTTTTGTGTTTTCAAAGTGGTACGTGGCTGATAAGCTGATTTTCAATCCATCATCATTTTGATGCAATTTCTTGGGGATAACTTTAGGACTGTATTAATAGGGAATGATATTTTGGAAATTGTTTTTTTAATTTTTTTGGAAATTTTTTGGTGAACTTCTTGGTAGGTTTTGATTGTTATTCTGTATAAATTAATTTTTCAGAATGCTATATATATATATTTTTTTTTTGATGAAGTGAACCCCTTAAAAAACTTGGCTCATATTGTCCATTAATAAATAAATTAATTAGATTCTTGGTGTACTTGGATTACTGAATCTGTCCAAATCAGGGTACAAAAATTGAATATATGGGGTTCTTTGATATGCTGAATCTAACCTTGTATTAAGATTTTGGATTTATCGCCCTGTTATCAAATTAGTCGGGCCATAAGAATATTGCAGGCAGGAATACGTGAATGACTGAACATGCTGTTGCTAGACAACTTCACACCAGAAACTCATCTTACTGTCCTTACAACAAGGTACAGGCAGGCAAGACTGTTGATGACCACCCATGACCATCTCAATGTGTAGTGACATTGCCACATCAATAAAATTTGATTATGCAACGTCATTTGCTAGACATGTTTCTAATCAATTCGTCAAATGCTAATCAATTCGTCGAATGCCATGGCAGACTGATTCATGCCATAAATGTTACCCATATACATGTACTGAAATGCTAAAGAACATGAAGAATGGACTGCAGAAAAACATTTAAAGCCCTAAAGTTTAAATCCCATAATTCCCAAAACACACTTATGGATGAGAAAGAGCCCAAATCAGAAGGTACAAAACAGAACTCAAAATATGCCCAACAGAATTGGTTGACCTTTCTGTCAATCGTTTAGGCGTTTGTTACGGGCCGTCCTTGCTTTGGATGGCGATACATCCATTGATAAGGGGTAAACCAGGGTTTCCGTGCATACCACATGATTTAAACATTAAACATGACATAATTAGTTCAACTTTCTAACTGCAAACTTTTTTTAGACAATATGATTATGACTAAAATTTATGTCTATACATTTTTTTTTTACAAAAACTGCATATTGAAAATGAGAATTAAAAAGAATAATCTAGTGCTGTGTTTTTAAAGTCTGTCAGTATAAGTTATGATGTAACTGAACATTTTTCATTTCAAGTGGTTATAAATGGTTGCATTACAAGTAAATAAAAATTGTTTCTGTTTTTCTAGACTATCTCTCATATTTTTCTTCAAAAGACAAAGCTTTGCCTAACAATGTAATTACAAATTCATGTAGATGCATTGACCTTTTCATGTTTGTGCTTGGTTCTTGGAAGTTGGTCAATTTTGTTAAGTTATCGTCTTGAAGAAGTCAATATTGGCAACATTCTGATTTTGGTAAATTTGCTTGACAATATTTGACTTGTTTAAGTCATATTTTGTATTAAAAATAAAGGGAGACAACACATGAAATGTACCAATCTAGACCTCTAGATGATTAATAAATTACCCCTTCCGTTGCCAGTGTTATTACGTTTCCCCCCAAAAAAGAAATTGGTAATTTTTTATTTTTTGAAAATTTAATTCTATGCCTTTAAGCTTTTAATTTATAATTTTTGTAATGCATCACATCTTATATACATATATATATATATATATATATATATATATATATACAAGGCTAATCTGAATGAGTTAAACTACAATGGGAAATAATTTTCAAATTTCATCAGCTATGAGAAGGCTAGCTTTTAAGAAAAGCTACATATATTACTGTAAATTCAGAAATTATTGCATGCATTTATTATTGGGATTATTGAAAATCTGCTATATATTATACAAAAAATGCGTGATGAATTATTTTGATTTAAGGAAAATCTGCATACAGATATATGTATCAAATTTCAGAATTCAGGTTCCCTTGTCGCCATCTTATGGTGTTTATATATCTAAACTTGTTCGATTCCCTCGTGTATGTTACAACGTATTTGATTTCAAAGAAAGAAATCTCTGTATTACTGAAAAATTATTACACCAGGGTTTTCGATATCACAAACTAGTCAAAACATTTACTAAATTTTTTCATCGAACAAGGACATCATTCGTAAATATAAATCAACATGCAGACATCTTATACGTTCAGGTATTTCACATCCAATATTTTATGGTAATATTCTTTACAAAGCACAAAAATGTCAGCATTCACCTCAAAAGCTAACCAAACCTTTAAACAGACTTATTCGGAAAGGATATAGTTACGATACTGTTGTCAAGTCATTAAGGATTGCATATTTTGGTATTAATATTGATTCACTCATAGGGTCTTTGCATCGGAAATAAACACATTTATTCTTAAACCAGTTGTTGGCATGATACGGGTTATGTTCTTCTAATATATTTTAAGATGGTATGATGCTAAACCCCTAAAGGGGGGGATTGTACTTGATTTTCATATGACGAAGACATAATCTTTCAATCAGTTTAATTGAGGTCTGGAGTTGGCATGTCAATAACTGCTAGTAGTCCTTTGTTTATTTATGTATCATTGTCATTTTGCTTAGTTTCTTTTGTTACCTATTCTGACATCGGACTCAGACTTCTTTTTAGCTGAGTTTTACTGTGAGTATTGCTATGTGTTTCTTTATTCTACATTGGCTAAGGTATAGGGGGAGGGTTGAGATCTCACAAAACATGTTTAACCCCGCCACATTTTTGCGCCTGTCCCAAGTCAGGAGCCTCTGACCTTTGTTAGTCTTGTATGTTTTTTAATTTTAGTTCATTTATATGTTTTGGAGTTTAGTGTGACGTCCATTTTCACTGAACTAGTACACAATTTTATTTAGGGGCCAGCTGAGGACCACCTCGGGGTGCGGGATTTTCTCGCTGCGTTGAAGACCCATTGGTGGCCTTCGGCTGTTGTCTGCTCTTTGGTCTGGTTGTTGTCTCTTTGACATATTCCCCATTTCCATTCTCAATTTTATCTCATTATTTCGATCCTCAACCAGTTGCATTATTTGCACTTTAAAAACCTAGCAATAATTTCTGAATTTACAGTACTTTGTCAAATACTAAAACTACAAAAAAATTTGTTGGCGTCTTTGTTAGATTTATTTGCATGTTTGTTTGAACGTGTTAAGTCAGTTGTGTTGTATGTCTGTGATGTATGTTTACATGTAGTTTTGGCTGCTGGATCCCAATTATTGTCACATTAACCTGGTATGTCTGTTTGGGTTTCTCACTCAATTTTGTCAATATATAACGGAACTATAAACAACTGGCATAGAAGTGGGAGGTTAAGCTAGATATAAAACTAGGTTTAACCCACCATTTTCTTCTGAAAATGCCTGTACGAAGTCAGTAATATGACAGTGGTTTTCATTTTGTTCCCTTGGTTAATAAAATCTCACATTTGATTTTGTCAGTGTTTATGGACTTCCCCCTTTTTTATAAGTTTGTTTACGGGACGTATTATGGTATTATGCATGTATTAGACTATTAGTCTCACTTTGCAGACAGCTCTAGTTTCTGTTTTATTATAAAAAGTAAACTAATTTTATAATTTATTTAATAGGAATTGCTTCAATGACAGTGCCAACTTACATTGCTGAATGTGCTCCATCTGAACTGAGAGGAAGATTAGTCACAATAAATAATTTATTTATAACTGGTGGACAGTTCATTGCAAGTGTACTTGATGGTGCCTTCAGTTATGACAAGATAAATGGTTGGAGGTAAATGTTGATGTTTGTCATTGTTTTTTTTTTTAAAGAACATGTATCAGGTTGTATTGAATCATGGATTTATAACTTGGAAAACCTAGCATCATATATGATTTCAACTAAATGAGGAGTGAGTAGCTAAAAGGTGCAGAGATATATATATACCGAGGCTAATCTGGGGTCAGCAGCTTATATTCAATTCACTCAAATGAAACATGCCACCAGAGGTAATCTTTGGTTCTTACTTAATAAATTTTCAAACACTATCTCTAAAACTACAATTATTTTTACAATAATCTTCTTCTCTGAAACTGCTGTGCCAAATTTAACCAAACTTGGCCATAATAATAATTGGGGTATCTAGTTTAAAAAATGTGTAAAAACTGCTTGCCTTCCAAGATGGCCAACATGGCTAAAAATAGAACATAGGGGGAAAAATGCTAGTTTTTTCTGTTATTTTGAAAACAGCTATATTAATAGAGAAAATCTGACATGGGCAGAAATGTTCAGAATGTTGAGCCCTTCCTATTGTCCATTTACTTCAAAACTGTCAGAGGACTTCTCATTAGAAACATTAAATGACAAATTTTACCATTTTTTTTCATTTTTGCCTGTAATCTTGAAATCTATAAAAGAAAGAGAGAAAATTTAAAAGGGTAAAATGATCAGCAAGACAAGATCTACAAATAAGTAAACATGGCAGAAATTGTCAGATGACTCCTATTGTGAGTAAATGCCCTTAAATGATTTTTTTGTTTCGCCTTGATGGAGTCAAAAAGCAAGACATACCCGGTAGGTATATGTATGCTGTTTCTGGCGGCGCCGGTGGTGGCGTCAACAATGTTTTAGTCTGATAAGGTCAGTTTATACTTTATAGGGAACCACTAGTGGTAGGTCAATCATATTTGGTATGCAGTTGTATAAGCATTGGCACATCTCATTTTCATGGAGATTATTTGGCCCTGCCCCCTCAGTCATGGTCTATTGACTTTGAAACTTTTGCTTAGTTTACATGAATTAGTTTGTGATTAGAACCACTAGTGGTAGGTCAATGATATTTGGTATGTAGTTGTATTGTCATTTGCACATCTCATTTCCATGGTGATTATTTTGCCCTGCCCCCTCAGTCATGGTCTATTGACTTTGAAGCTTTTGCTTAGTTTACATGAATTAGTTTGTGATTAGGTCAGTTTATGGGACCCTTTAGTGGTAGGTCAATCATATTTGGTATGCAGATGTATAAGAATTGGCACATCACATTTCCATAGAGATTGTTTGGCCCTTTACCTTCAGTCATGGTTCATTGACTTTGAATAACTAACATGTAAAAGTATTGCTGTATTAATTTCAACATTTGCGTTTTACTGTCAAAATAACAAAAAGGCGAGACATATCACTGTGTTAACAGTTTATTACAATTTTTGTTGCATTTTTGCCTATTATTTTAAACTATAATAAGTAGATAGAAACTTTGAATGGTAGTGATGATCAGCAAGACCGGATCTTCCAATCATTGAATATGGTGGAAATCCTTGGAAGCCTCCTTTTTGTCTCGCCTGCAATAAAAGTTGTGGAATTTTCATTGTGGAAAGGGAGGCCTGAAGTTGTATTAATTTACTATCAGCACATATCAGTTTGACGACTATTTTGAGGCCTTGTCCCCTAGGACATGGTCCAGTGACTGAATAATTTACAAATTTCCAATGTTAAGTTTTCTGCTTAAGTTAGATTGATAGAAACTACTAATTACAATAGACAACAATATTTTCTCTAAAGTTATATTACTTTCTCTACATCTCAGTTTGTTGACCATTTTCAGGTCCTGCCCACTAGATCATGTAGATCATGGTCCAGTGACTTTGAATTAATAAGTAATGTCCATCAGATTGTCTTTTTCTCAATTTTATGCCGACAGGCGAGACATGTCTCTGTGTCAACAGTTTATTTTGAGGAATTGCCCCTAAATGACCATTTTTACAATTTTTTGCATTTTGGCTTATTATCTTGAAAGCCATTATATATAGATAATCATGATAAAAAGACACTTAAGAAAGGAAAAATAATCAGCATGACATGATACAAAATTTGTCAATATATATATCTGAAACGATTTATAGGCTCACTATTGGGGTAATTGTCCCTAAACGGTGATATTAACCTGTTTTTTTGCTTTTTTGAGTAATTGCCTTTTAAAGATGATTTTAACCAATTTTTTACATTTTTGTTAAGAATCTTACAAAAATCTTCTCCTCTCAAACAATATGGTCAAATTTAACCAAACCTTGGCCACAATCACTTTTAAAGTATCTAGTTAAAAAAAACTGCCTGCAAACCAACATGGCAGACAACGCTAAAAATTGAACATAGGGGTGAAATGCAAGTTTTGTTTATTATCTTGAAAACCACTATGCATGGAGTAAATCTGACTACAAGCAGACATATTCAGAATATTGAGATCTACCTGCTGTCAATTTAATCAACTTTGGCCACCAGAGCCAATATTTTTATCCTGATTGGCCAATTTTTAAAAAAAACTTCTTCTCTGAAACTGCTAATTTTAATTTTACAGAGTTCATAATTTGAAGACCAACAGTCCTCATCTACCAATTTGATCAGGTGTTTAAACAATGACAGCATTAGTGGCACATAGTTTCCATTGAAATCCTATTGAAGATCAAGTTCTTCTCTGTTCAAAAGAATTTGGGTGATTGACAATTTTGGTGGAAATTATGTATGAAAGGTCCCCTACTAGCAACATAAATTTGGTTGTGGTTGGTAGTAAAACATGGCCAACAGAGCCACTATTTATTATTCTGATGGACAATTTTTTAAAATCTTCTTCTCTGAAACTGCCAGGCCAAAATTTTTAACTCTTTAGATAATTGATGATTTTGGGACCCTCTATACGGGGATTATACATTTAATGTTAATGGGTGATAAACATGGCAGTATTGATGGTAAGTAGTTGGTTCCCTTTGAAACTATGTGGAAAATCATATTTTTATCTTCTTCATTGAAATGGTTTTGCCAATGTGAAATAACCTTGCCAGGAATGATGTATAGAAGATACCCTGCAAACTGTTCTCATTTACTTCTGATCTGACAAAAAACGTGGCAGACAGAGGCAATCATCGATTCTCTACTTGACAATTTTCAGAAATCTTTGAATTAGGTGTCGAAATGTTTTGAAACTTTACTGGATTAATGATTGGGAGATTAATTTTTGTCTATAAGTAACCTGTTAATGTTTTAATATTAATTTTAACCAAAGTAAACCAGGTAAGTGACAATTCAGACCCCTTAGGTCTCAGGTTCGTGTAAAGTTTTTCTTAAAGGTAAGTTTAAATTTTTTAAAATGGTCCACTTCTATCAGAATTACAAGTTTGAATACATGTACATCAAATAAATCATCAACTTGATAAAGTATAAGTTGGTGGATGGGTGGGTAAGAATTGACCAGACTGGACTGTTTGAAAAGGCAAGCTTTGAATTATACATAATAAAACATTGATTTACCATTACAATTCTTCCTGCTTATTTAAGCTCTTGAAATTACTGTGTAGACTGTAGTCACATGATTAATGTCAAACACATACATGTTGTCACTATTACATTTATATATACATTTATGTGCACTTAAACAAGACTGATTAGTAATGTTTACATATGTCATGTATGTAGTAGATGACAAAATTCATAAATAGCTAGGTGAATAATGCATAATTTTTGGAGCCTCTACTGGAATAAAAAGATAAATCCTTATTATTACATTGGTTGCAATGAATTACATTGATTTCCCAGTGAAATAAAAACCGATAATTTCACATGTGAAATAAACGTGGTTATTTCACTCCTCTGACGGCATACAACAATAGGCGTTGTCAAGACGTCGATAACGTCGGATCAAAACAAATTGTGAATGCGTAGAAAAGAAATAGTTCCTTACATTTTCTACTTTAATTTCATAAAAAAAGCCATTTGCCAATATAATAAAAGAATAACTAATCAAAGAATTCAAATATCGAAAAATATTCAACTCGTGACCTAACAACACTGACAATTAACTCATGCGCTACTCGCATTCGTGAATTAATGTGTTGTTCTGTCACTCGTTGAATATTTTTCTCTATTTGAATTCTTCGATTAGTTATTCTATAATTAATTCCATTTCATTTGATATTTTTATTGTTCAATTTTTTTTTTCTTGGAATGAGTTTTTGTAAGAATTTTAATAAAATTTCAGATATATGCTTGGATTGGCAGGTGTACCATCTGCAATTCAGTTTGTTGGGTTTTTTTTTCTTCCGGAAAGTCCAAGATGGCTGATAAGTAAAGGTAAAGAAGTTGAGGCTAGGAAAGTTTTATGTAAAATCAGAGGACATTCAAATGTTGAGGAAGAGCTTCAGGAAATCATACAAAAGTTTGAAGAAGAAAGAGAATCCACAAATGATAAAGGTATTACATTTAAACATGGTTGTTAAGTATTACTGGTATTATTATGATTATTTTTATTTAAGAAAGAGAATTGACAAATCATATAAGTATTACATTCAAACATTGAGATATGCTAGTATATACATTGTTAAAGTATTATGTGATGATTTCCACTGTTTGTAATGTGATATATGCGTCCAGCAGGTGAAGGCTATATTCCTGTCTAGGCCCACATACATAATGGATGTAAGACCAGACCTGAAGTGCTCATGTTTTCCAATCCAAACAGAATTTCATACTTTAATCATCATGCACAGGCTAGACCAAATAAACAAACATAAATTGAAATGAGACATAATACTGTTTGGGCAAACTAACCACACTTTTATTAACTTCTTTCATTATATAACTATAAAAAGACAACAACATCCTGGATTACTGCAAGGAAGTGCTTTATTCTGGTCTACATGTTTCGCCACTTACGGTGGCGTCTTCAGGACAATTTAATGATAGGAAACAAGCATAGAAGTATATAAAATGCGGCTCATATGGGGTTACAAAAAGGTTAACAAGACGTGACGTCACAATAATAGGTTTGACAACATTAAAATGAAAATGAAAGTAAAAGTTAATAATGAATTGTCAGTATCTTTTCCAAAATGAACAACACCTCACTGGACATTCAGTACCATTTCAACTGGCTTCACTCTGAATGAGGTACTACTTCCTATTGCCTCGGGAATAGTGTGGGATGTATGGTAGTCGCACATGTAGGGCATTGTGGAAATTGCGGTTAATCTGTATGGTATTTGTGGTTATGGTACACCAGCCAATGTCTCAAGTTCATTTTGAAAGTAAAGTGGTGTGGTTCTGCGGTTCATTCCGTTTTGCGGTAATCTTCTTTGGTCCTTGTGTGTGGTAGTTAATCATTTTCTTTCTAGAATGGATCGGCAATCTTGGAAAAGGGTTTGTAATGTTATTCATGCTATGTGGTTGTATAGTACAACGCTCTTTTGGCAAAGGTGGATCGTATGGCTGCAGGGGTTCACAAAAAAACTAAGACATCGAAACGAGTGAACCAACACCTTCGAACGGTATAAGCTGGTAGAGTAATCAGGATGGATACCAAAGTATGCTGCGGTTGTCTTAAAACCTCAGGAAAATATAACTATAAAAAGACAACAACATCCTGGATTACTGTAAGGAATTTCCAAATGCTTTATTCTGGTCTACATGTTTCGCCACTTACGGTGGCGTCTTCAGGACAATTTAATGATAGGAAACAAGTGTAGAAGTACATAAAATGTGTTTCATATGGGGTTACAAAAAGGTTAACAAGACACAACATCACAATAATAGGTTTGACAACATTAAAATGAAAGTGAAAGTAAAAGTTGTCAAACCTATTATTGTGAAGTTACGTCTTGTTAACCTTTTTGTAACCCCTTATGAACCGTATTTTATGTACTTCTACACTTGTTTCTTGTGTCCTGAAGACGCCACTGTAAGTGGTGAAACATGTAGACCAGAATAAAGCATTTCCTTGCAGTAATCCAGGATGTTGTTGTCTTTTTATAGTTATATTCTTTCATTATATAATAAACAATGCCAATGAACAATGAAAGAATCATAAAAAGTCAATTGTTTCGCAAATATCAATTCACTGATAAGTCTGTGGTACTCCAAACATTTGCCCAAACCAGGTAGGAATAATGAAGAGATAGGTTAAATTAAAGTTTAAGTGCATTAGCAAAAGCTTTCAAACTTGTCAAAACATTCATTTTTAATTGCTCTTTTCTTCTCCAAATAATAATGATGCTTATTTTTTTCAATCAATGCTGTTAAACTTAAATCTTCTTTTAAATATTGAGTACAATGTATTATATATATATTGTTTAATCTAGAGAAAAATATTGTTTTGAGGGTCATCTTTGTACATTCGGGATAAATTTCCAAACAAAAAATGTCTTGTGGTGTAAAAGGTATACCTTAGCTTTTAAATACCATTCTGGAGAAACCAGATTTCAGTTTCCCCAATGAATTGTTGTACATAATAACATTCGCAAAGTATATGTTCAATTGATTACAGTTCAGTCTCACAAAAAGTACAAAGTATGGGTTTTGAAGTTGAAAGAACAAGGATCCAGAAATTTTTACACAATTTCGGTCATTTTGAGATGACAAATAAGTTGGGACCCTTTTTGGAAATATTTTCACACAATATCGCTCATTTTGAGATGACATAAAAGTTGGGACCCCTTTTTCAAACTATCGAAATTATTCACACTAGATAATGGCATCAACAAACTTGTATTGACTGTTTCATTGCATTTACTTCATGATTTTTCTTACCGTTTTTCTGAAAACGTTCAAGAACAATTTATGCACTAACCCAATTTTGTTTAACAGAATTCTATGATTTATTTTATACTGAAGCCGTTGCAGCTTAATGTTTTTTGTTATGTCAAATGGTAGTTGAAAAATCTTTTTCCAGTTCTGATTTTTGTCTCACCTTGACGGAGTCAAAAAGGGAGACATAGGTATGCTGTTTCTGGCGTCGGCGGTGGCGGCTTCAACAATGTATTAGTTTGTGATTAGGTCTAGTTTATGGTGAACCACAAGTGGTAGGTCAATCATATTTGGTATGTAGTTGTATTAGCACTGGCACATCTCATTTCATGAAGATTATTTGGCCCTGCCCCCTCATTCATGGTCTATTGACTTTGAAACTTTTGTTTAGTGTACATGTATTACATAATCAGCTGATAATTTTTTTACACAAACATCGTGGTGATGTAACTGATAAAAATCACTCCATCAATCCTTCAGCCCTTTCACATATTTAGCAATTGTCAGGGTTAGTAACATCTCAGGATTATATCTACTCATTATTGCAGAATATTCAATGAATATACATCCATCGTCTAATTGAATATATCGGGTAATCGGATATTTTTAGCTGACATTTTGGGTATCCGATTTGCCGGAGTCTACTGTAGTTTGTGATTAGGTCAGTTAATGGAGAACCACTAGTGGTAGGTCAATCATATTTGGTATGCAGTTGTATAAGCATTGGAATATCTCATTTCCATGGAGATTATTTGGCTCCGCCCCCTTAGACATGGTCTATTGACTTTGAAAATTTTGCTTAGTTAACATGTATTAGTTTGTGATTAGGTCAGTTCAAGGGGAACCACAAGTGGTAGGTCAATCATATTTGGTATGCAGTTGTATTAGCATTGGCACATCTCATTTCCATGGAGATTATTTGGCCCTGCCTCTCAGTCATGGTCTATTGACTTTGAAACATTTGCTTAGTTTACATGTATTAGTTTGTGATTAGGTCTAGTTTATGGTGAACCACAAGTGGTAGGTCAATCATATTTGGTATGCAGTTGTATTAGCATTAGCACATCTCATTTCATGGAGAATATTTGGTCCAACCCCCTAAGTTATGGTTTATTGACTTTGAAACTTTTGCTTAGTTTACATGTATTAGTTTGTGATTAGATCAGTTTAAGATGAACTAATGTCAAGTCAATGATATTTGGTATGCAAATTGATTTTCATTTGCAAGTATCATTTCCATGGAGATTATATAGCCCCACCCCCTCTTCATGGTTCATTGACTTTGAAACTTTTACAGTTTACAAGTTAATGTTTGTCTTTAGGTTTGTTTAAGGGGAACGACTTATAATAAGTCAATGGTATTTGGTATGCAGTCAATGTACAAATGTATTAGCATTGGCACATCTCACTTCCATGGAGATTGTTTAGCCATGTACCTCAGTCATGGTTCATTGACTTTGAATATTTGCATAACTTACATGTTAAAGTATTGCTATTTTAATTTCAACATTTGCATAATCAAAATTACATATCTCTGTGATAACAGTTTATCTAAAGCTAATGTTGCTCTTTTTACTCCTGTAGGAACAGTGTTGTTTTTTGTTAAGCTCAAAATACATATCTTTAGATCCCTTTTGACTTTTGAGAATGGTCTTTATAACTGATTGTATGAAAGGAGATAATAATTTATAATCTCCCTTATTAAATTTTTTTGAAGTCTTAGTTAGCATAAAAAATATGCTATTATATTTCATGATGTCTAAATTCATCTGATAACACTCCTGAAACTGATAAAAATTTAGAAAGGTACCATTCTCTCCAACAATATCATTTACATGTAGAATACCTTTTCTATGCCAGTCTTTGAAAAACACTGGTTTGTTGTCAATTTGAAATAGATTGTTCATCCAAATTTGACTGGAAAGAAAATATTCCCAGTCTTGTAAATTCATTTCTCATTCAATAACCATATGCCAAAGACCCAGTACATCTTTCCAAAATTTATACTTTATACTTTGCTGTAGTTGCTTTATATAGCTCATAATTACCACAACTAAAAAATCTATCTTTATCAACATTTATGACAGAAATATATTTCGCCATTTACAATCATTTTTAAAAATCCTTCTGATCGAAGTACATTTCAATGCATTTATAAAGGCATTTAAATTTATCATTTTTATTCATTTTTAGCTCACCTGGCCCAAAGGGCCAAGATAGCTTTTCTTATCACTTGGCGTGCGGTGTCCGTCATCGTTGTCCATCGTTGTTTAACTTTTACAAAAATCTTCTCCTCTGAAACTACTGGGCCAAATCTAACCAAACTAGGCCACAATCATCATTGGGGTATTTAGTTTAAAAAATTTGTCCGATGACCCGGCCCGCCAACCAAGATGGCCAACATGGCTAAAAATAGAACATAGGGGTAAAATGTAGATTTTGGCTATTATCTCTGTAACCAAAGCATTTAGAGCAAATCTGACATGGGTAAAAATGTTCATCAGGTCAAGATCTATCTGCCCCGAAATTTTCAGACAAATCAGACAACCTGTTGCTGGGTTGCTGCCCCTGAATTGGTAATTTTAAGGAAATTTTGCAGTTTTTGGTTATTATCTTGAATATTATAATAGATAGAGATAAACTGTAAGCAGTTATAATGTTCAGCAAGGTAA